CCTAGACTGCTGTGGCCTAGATTTGGTTCTTGCATACTGGTGGGACCCCCTTTCTCTGTCAGTCGGGGTCCCCCTGAGCAGGGTCATGCCCCATATCTCGGTCTTCACAGACGTCTCCATGATGGGCTGGGGCAGGACCTGCCTCTCTCAGGTGGTGGGTGGTCTGCGGCAGGCCCACATGCCTCTCCACATAAACGTGTTGGAGCTTCTCAAGTGGTGTGGAAAGTGGCTGACACTTCACCCCTCTGCTGCGGAACCAGTATGCGATGGTCCGCACCGACAACAGGGCTGCAGCAGGTTACATGGGATGTTCCCGGCACAGCTGCTGAGCCTGGCCAGACAGATGCTGTTTTGGGTGCACACTCACCTGCTCTCCATCAGAGCGGAGTACATCCCTGGTGTGTTGAACAGAGGGGCTGACATCATGTCGAGGGGGGGCCCTCGTCCAGATGAGTGGCGCGGTCAGAAGTTACCTGCTTCTCGCTGAGCGGCGGCGCCTAGAGGCTTTAGGTCTCTCCCCGGTGGTGGTGTGCACCATCCAGGGATCGCTTCTACTCAGTCCTCTTTCTCCTTCAAATGGTTGGCGTTCCAACGCCGGTGTTTGGACCAGGAGTTGGACGCTGTAGCTTGTCCAATGCCGGGGTGCTTTCGTTCCTCCAGCTGCTCACGGAGAGAGGTCTGTCGTTCAGTATGGTTAAAACCTATGCGGCCGCCATTTCATCCTGCCACAAAGGCTTTTGTGTTTGCTCACCTGCTGGTGAAGCGTTCCCTGAAGGGCATGCCTTTTGGCCTTTCTGCTCGTGTCTCCGGATACGGGGTGACGGCAGTTCTGCTGTCCAATTCAAACAACTTTATTTATCCCCGTAGGGCAATTCAGTTTTAGCCTATCAGTCGTATAACAAAACGACTGGGAGACTATTGGGTCGCACACTGTGAAGCGCCCCATTCACGTTAACCAGCGGCTGTCACTGTAAAAGAAAGCTACAAACTTTTCAGCATACTTAACGATAGCTGGTCTGAGCCAGAGGTATCATTTACAAGGTAGTCAGCACGCCAGGAAACTTGTCCTGCGCCCTAATCTTGCTTTCATGGCTAAGGGCATCACCGGATCCTTCCCATCGCGGGTGATTACCATCTCAGGTTTCTTTCCTCCACCCCATGGGTCTGAGGATGAAGCTACATCTCACCTCCTCTGCCCAGTGCACGCACTGTCCTGCTACATAGCAAGTAGCCCTTCACAGCGCCTGTTTGTACACTTCAGGGAACAGTCCAAGGGGCTTCCCCTTTTCGGTGCAGTGCCTGTCTCACTGGCTGTGTGAGGCTATCTCATAGGCCTATGTGTCAGCCAGTGTATCTCCCCTGGATAGCATCAGGGCGCACTCCACAAGAGGCGTCTCCTCCTCTGTGGCGTTGCACAGTGGAATGTCGGTGGACGACATCTGCACAGCGGCCTACTGGTCTTCCCTGTGCTCTTTCGTCCGTTTCTACCTGCCGGATGTCTCCCACTTCTCCTTGATTAACTCAGTAATGAGTGTTCTGAGTGATTGTCCTCTGTGAGTGTGCGGTGCTTTTCTCCCATCCGTACAGTGGGGAGCGGTGGCTGATCACGCTGGCCCTGCTCTGTGTGCAGCTGATGCGGTTGCTGTCGTGACCTCATCTGCACCTGCACAGCTGTTCCCCATCTGGTCCCCGGCCTTTTACGAATGTGTCGGTTCTCTGCCTTCCCATGTTGCGCCATTGGTGATTGCACGCATGGCTACACCAATGCCACAGGCTGCGGGGAATCGGGTGGCTTATTCTGTACCTGGTGGTACCGTATGGGCCAGTGAGGCGTTGACTCATCCTGCTTCGCCTCGAAACCCAATAGCGATGGCCTTAGAGGGCGAAGCCTGTTCGAAATAGAACGATAGTTACATATTGTAACTCCAGACTATAGGCGCAGCCCTCTAAGCAGTGGGCCTCACTGAGCCTTGGATGTCAGTGCTGACGAAAAGGCACAATGGGAGCCGAAGGCTGGGTCTCACTGTTGTTTATATACAAGGTGCGGACGTAGGAGAGGCCCACACATGTAGACAAAATTTATCAGTGCGCCTTCCCATGCGCGCACGTAGGGGTAAACCCAATAGCAATGGCCTTAGAGGGCTGCGCCTAAACTGATAGAATCTGAGTTACAATACGTAACTACTGTTTTGCCATCCAGGTCACTGCGCATGTCATGTGACTGAAACTATGAATAGCACATGCAGACATTAATCAAAAACTTGCTGTGTACATGGATAAATACATAATATTAAACCACATGCAATCAACTAGGCTACTGATCGAGGTATATTGATTGAATTAGGTTATCATGTCAGTTATCATCATTATCATGTTTTTCTTTGTTTCTTAATTTTTAGTATAAAACAAAAAAATATGGAATTTCCATATTTCCACATGGACAGTGACACGAGTGGATTTTCAATCCTGTAACATTCCACTCACACAAAACCTCTTCTGTCCCATCCCAATCCCATGACAGGGAAAAAACAAAATCCTGTCCACTCCCAATCCCACAATGACATCCTGTTTCTGATTAAAAAAAAATCTGAAAATGAAAAGTTTATTCATATTAGAAATGCATATTTATATACAGAAACTGATCTTCCCGTCCTTGACATTTATCCAGTTACGTGGAATTGACTCCCATCCTGCTGGAATCCCACAGGAATCCTGTGGGTCACAGAAATACGAAAACACGAGAACAAACTATTTATTATTTATTTATGTATTTTTTGGGCGTCTGTTGGTTGGTCTTCCACGTTTGCATCGCGGTGCATCTGGGAGTCATATTTTTATTTTTATTTATTTATTTTTTCTCCCACCCCTATTGGCTACTGGGGTTCTTGCCTGCCTGTGGCTGAGGTTTTGTTGCTTTCTGCAATTGGTGTTTCCCTCTGCTATTCCCTGTTGTCCCCGCCTTCCATCCCCCTTCTCTTGTACGTGTTGTCCTTTCTCTGTGCTGTCTGTTTGTGCAATGTTTGTGCTCCCCCATCCCCATGTCTGCCCCCATGTCTGCCCCCCTGTCCGGCCCGGTGACAAATCAATACACAATTAAATAAATAATAAAACAGACAAAGGAGTATATTAATACTCTCTTGTTAAAGTAAAATCTGTATGGCACAATATGGTATCCAGCTCATCATACTCTATACGAGGCTGCTGGGCAGGACAGGTTAAAAAAAATAATAATAAGTAGGACCTGCCTGACAAAGTGAAGTTGACCAAAAGATCCTCAAAAGCGAGACATCATGCTGCGATGTAAAGAAATTCAGGAACAAATGAGAAACAGAGTAATTGAGATTTATCAGTCTGGGAAATATTTTAAAGCCATTTCTAAAGCTTTGGGACTCCAGTGAACCACAGTGAGTGCCATTATCCAAAAACAGTGGTGAGCCTTCCCAGGACTGGCCGGCCGGCCAAAATTACCCCAAGAGCGCAGCAACGACTCATCCAAGAGGTCACAAAAACCCCCACAACAACATCCAAAGAACTGTAGGCTTCACTTGCCTCTGTTAAGGTCAGTGTTCATGACTCCACCATAAGACAGAGACTGGACAAAATGGCCTGCATGGCAGAGTTCCAAGACGAAACTATGGAGGGATTATTGGGTCAGATCTAAAACTAAAAGTCAAAAACTAAAAGTCGAAGTCGAAAATGAATTTGGTATTTAGGATTGGACATTCTGTATTTAGGATAGGGCATTTTATATTTAGGATTGGGCATTTTGTCATTCAGCCATTTAGAATTGGGGATTTAGGATTGGGGATTTGGGGATTTGAGGATTGAGTCATGTATGCAAATGAGGAGGCGTGACCCAAAGGCTGCAGGGAGGGTTTGGAACGGCTGAGGCGCAGAGGCACTTTATGGACTGCAGGGGGAGCTCTGACTTCCAGCACACTGCCATGAAAGCAAGCAGAGTGAGTGAGCAGGGCTGGAGGAAGGACACTTTATAATACCATAGCTAAAAGTGTACAGCATTTCTGTCCATGTGGCCTCACACGCAAAGTCAACAGTGAAAGGAATGCTATCCATCTGACAAGAAAGCAGCGGACAATACAGCAGGTAAGATATGATAACATTAGCAAGTTAGCTATATTAGGCTAACTGTTGCTGACATGCATGAGTTACATTAAACTGTCGGTACATGCAGGTTCTAAATGCGGCTATTAACCTTGCTGTGGGCTGTGTGTATAATCCGTAAAAATAAGGTGTAGAAGCTGTGTTTCAGGTGACAAGTGTATGTTTACAGTGTTTGTGTGCTCTGAAAAACATAACAGCGCAGCTATAAAGTCTCAGCCGGCAGACCTAGTATGGTATTATTACTACGTACACATATGGAGGTAACGTTGAGGCCTGATAGACATCTGCTAATCAGAAACAGAGGACACTACCTACATCACTGCCGATGTCATTTGACCAGGGAGTGAATGGTGATTAATGCGATTGTCATCAGTGTTTTCCTATAGTGTCTCCTTTTGGTCTTTCACTTCACTGTGTTTCGAGTGTTCCCGTCTGTCCCTGTGTTTGTTATTGCCCCATGCTCAGTCTCCTGGCTCCCGCTCAGCTACATGCACCAGCTCTGTATTTCTTCTGTCCTAAATTAGGGCCTAAAATCTACACTAGAGGTGTTTGAGGTTAACACAAGTTCCACTGTTTTTCCCCACTGACTTGTCCTCCCCCTGCAGACAAAGATGTTTCACCTGGACATGAAGGACCACTTGATGTCACAGCTTTTGATCAGCCATCTGCAACAGAGTCCCAGTCCACTGGGTCACACCACAAGTTGGAAATTACAACTACAGTTGATTCAGTAACCTCTGGATCTGTTGGGTCAGATGTACGACCAGTCTGGTCCCCACATTCACCAGCTTTTTAAACTTTGTCAAAAACTACTCCATTAACTTTCTACTATAGTCAATAAGTTTGTAGTCAAAAACTTCTCTGGAGACGGTCAAGAGTCGGTGCAAAAGAGTTTATTCCAATACAGGACAGATAAACCCGTACAACATCCCAGCAGGGTGGAGGATGGAGTCAATCCTGTGGTCTGCAGACAGCCTTATATATCCCCCTCTGGGCTGGTGTGCCCCCTCCTCTCCTTATGGTGAACTTCTCATCCTCTGCTGTCATGCTGCTTACATCTGTTGTTTTACCAATTAACACTGTTCTCCAGCTGTCATTCATTACTGTATTGTTGATTTTCTATATTTTTACATTACTGGATGACAAGTTCACCATTATATTTCAACTTCAGTCTCACCAATTTTTTTTAAAAGTTATACATGCATAATTTGACACACAATTGTATTTCTTAAAAAATGTATACAAGAATAACATATATTGGATATTGGAGATTGGTCTGTAGTTGCTTATCACAGATGGATCTAAGGGGTACTTTGAAAAAAAATTGTGGGTCAAGGAAGCACGTGGAGGAGTTTAGCTGCTTTATCACTTCTTTTGGATCATAGAGGTAGTAGGTGAAAAATTATGCATTGTGCCCACAGTGTTGTGATGATTTAGGGGCATTAGATGAATGAGAGATGAGTAGGGTTGGAGATCTGAAGGCATTTGAAGGAAGTTTGTGAATAATATCAGACGAGATGACGTGGGCAGTAGTGAATGGGGACACATGGCTGGCTGTCCAGTAGAAGGCAAACGTGAGGCAGAGGAGCAGGTGGTGATCCTGGGTACAAGAACCAAAAGGTTAGTCACAAAGAAAACACTAGGAAGCAAAGGAGAGATGATGAGGCAGGAGCTCTGAGTTGATTGAGCCTGAGATGTGAAACTGAGTTTTCAGTTCTTAAACAGCTGATCAAAACTAGTTCAATCAACCCTGAGTGTGTTCACTGAGTTAGTGGGGAATGAAAAGAAAACTACAATTCACCATGGCAATGAGTAAATAAAGAGCGAAGTCTCCATTTTAATCCAGTGGCGCTAGAAATATGAATTCATGCTAACACGGACCATTTCATTTATCTAACTAGAGGAAGGATTAATGATTCAACACTATTACATTTGATTCAGTGAAGGACATTCATTGTTTAATAAAGTGCTGATATCCTTCTGTATGTTGCATTGGATTTATTTAGCTGATGGTGACAAAATGCAGGTGGCAATAACGGAAGATGAAATTATGAATCAAACAGATAAGACTCGTAGGATGTACTCAAGGACCTGTGAATGTAAAGTCACAGTCCAACCCATTAAAGATTAATTATTATTAAAGAATTAAAGATTGTGATTTGCAGTTAAAAGTTAGTCTAGGTTCAAACTGACTATTTTACATGCATTTTGAAGACTATGTGCAGATGTTCAAAGACTTTGGAACTCCATTTAGTCCTTCCCCAACCTTAATCATGGTGCATCCAATTTTGGTTACTGTTTTTGTTAAAATCTAACTAGCAGTCACTAAGCCTCTAGTATTGAGTTTATGCCCTAACTTAGGAGAGAAGTAATTGTTGCACATCTGAATAAAAACTCAGTGTGGCTTTGATATCTTTACTAAAATCTGCAACATACATAAACAGATTGAAACACGATGCACGGTCAGTTCAGACTCACGTTAAGACTCAAGTTACAGAAATGCACTGCCATGTTGAGGCTTCTCAACAGTATACTAATAAAGGAAAACATTTGGCACAACTCCTACATTATACACATTAGTATTGTAGCTCCTGTTTATTACAGCTGCATGTACAGTCATGTTTTACAGGCTTTACAGTGTGGTACACTGTGGTGCATTGATGATGTGCATTACGTCTTGAGCTGGGCCTTGTAGAGTCCATCCTAGGTGTGTCCTCACTGCTGCTGCCCACCAGGAGGGCCCAGTCATACAGGCTCTATGGGTGTTATGAGATATATGCAATCAGAGCCAATCAAGAGCATCTAGAACAGCATATGCTTCAATGTCGGACACCGTAGTTTTCTCTGGACCCCTGCCAAATCTGACCAGTGATGACATGTATAGCCGCATGTCGTCATTCCGCCGCTGGTTGTCGAGGTGGTGTCCAGCAAACGATGTGGGCTTTGTTGATCATTGGCAGACTTTCTGGGGAAGACCTGGTCTGATCCGGAGAGACGGCATCCATCCCACTTGGGAAGGAGCAGCTCTCATTTCTAGAAATCTGGCCAAGTTTATTAGTGGACCAAATCCATGACAACCCAGAGTTGAGACCAGGAGGCAGAGTCGCAGTTTAACACACTTCTCTGCCATTCTTTTTCAGCAGTTACCCACCCAAAACCCTACACAGAGTCGCAGTCTAACACACTTCTCTGCTCCTCCATTTCAGGAGTTACTTAGTGAAAATCCTATAGTGACGGTGTCTGTCCCCCGACCATCGAAATTATTTAAAAAGGTAAACAGAAGAGGAGCTGTGCATAAAAACCTCATAAAAAATTAAAACCACAAGAGCAATAGTGCAAACGAATAGGAGAGTTAAATGTGGACTCTTAAACATCAGATCTCTCTCTTCTAAAGGTGTACTAGTAAATGAACTAATATCAGATTATGATATTGATTTATTTAGTCTTACTGAAACATGGCTGGGTGATGGAGAATATGTTAGCCTAAATGAATCCACCCCTCCCAGTCATATTAATACTCACATTCCTCGAGGCACAGGCCGAGGAGGTGGAGTTGCAGCTACTAATCAGCTCTAAACCTAAACTAAACTATAACTCATTTGAAAGTGTTGTTCTTAGTCTTTCGCACCCAAGTTGGAAATCACTGCAACCAATTCTTTTTGTTATAGTGTACCGAGCACCTGGCCCGTACTCTGAATTCTTATCTGAATTTGCAGAGTTTTTGTCAACTTTAGTCTTTAAAACGGACAAAGTTATTATTGTAGGAGATTTTAATATTCATGTGGATGTTGAGAATGACAGCTTCAGTACTGCGTTTATCTCTTTGTTAGATTCCATCGGCTTCTCTCAGAGTGTTCATGAACCGACTCACTGTTTTAACCACACCCTCGACCTTGTTTTGGTGTATGGTATTGAAATTGAACATTTAGTGGTGTTCCCACAGAATCCCTCTTTATCCGACCACTGTTTGATAACTTTTGAGTTTGTATTGCTGAACTACTCGCCATTGGGCAAAAATTTCTATACAAGATGTCTGTCTGATAGTGCCATAGCTAAATTTAAGGATGCGATTCCATCAGCTCTAAATCCATTATCTAGTCACATAGTAACGGAGGACTCCTATGCTAATTTCAGTCCCTCCCAAATCGATCATCTTGTTGATAGTGCTGCAGGCTCGCTGCGAATGACACTCGACTCTGTAGCCCCTCTAAAAAAGAAAATACTAAAACAAAGACGGTTAGCTCCATGGTATAATACTGAAACTCGCAAATTAAAGCAAATATCACGGAAACTTGAGAGGAATTGGCGTTCCACCAAAGTGGAAAATTCTCGTTTAATTTGGCAAGATAGTCTTAAAACTTATAGGAAGGCCCTCCGTAATGCTAGAGCAGCGTACTACTCGTCATTAATAGAGGAAAATAGGAACAACCCCAGGTTTCTTTTCAGCACTGTAGCCAGGCTGACAGAGAGTCACAGCTCTATTGAGCCAAGTATTCCCATAGCTCTCAGTAGTTACGATTTCATGAGCTTCTTTAATGATAAAATTCTAGCTATTAGAGACAAAATTCACCAAGACCTGCCCTCAATTGGCACCGACTTATCTCTTAACTCAGGAACCTTAGAAACAGCTGTAGAACCAGATACATGTTTAGATTGTTTTGCTTCCCTCAATCTTTACCAACTAACTTCAATAATTTCTTCATCTAAACCATCAACCTGCCTCTTAGACCCCATCCCGACTAGGCTGCTTAAAGATGTTCTACCCTTAGTCAGCACCTCTATACTAGATATGATCAATCTATCTTTATCAACAGGCTATGTACCACAGTACTTTAAAGTAGCTGTAATTAAACCTCTTCTGAAAAAGCCCAAACTTGATCCGGATGTTTTATCAAACTATAGACCTATATCTAACCTTCCATTTCTCTCTAAGGTTCTGGAGAAAGCAGTTGCTAAAGCTGTGTGACTTTCTACAGAGCAATAGTTTATTTGAGGATTTTCAGTCAGGATTTAGAGTTCATCATAGCACAGAGACAGCACTGGTGAAAATTACTAATGACCTCCTTATTGCATCAGACAAAGGACTTGTCTCTGTACTGGTTTTATTAGATCTTAGTACTGCATTTGATACCATTGACCATCAGATCCTATTGCAGAGACTGGAATATTTCATTGGCATTAAAGGAACCGCTCTAAGCTGGTTTAAGTCCTATTTATCAGATCGATTTCAGTTTGTACATGTTAACGATGAGTCCTCCATGCACGCCAAAGTTACTCATGGAGTTCCTCAAGGATCTGTCCTTGGACCAATCCTCTTCACTTTATATATGCTTCCTTTAGGCAATATTATCAGGAAACATTCCATAAGCTTTCATTGTTATGCAGATGATACTCAGTTATATCTATCGATCAAGCCAGATGAAACTCATCAGTTAGCTAAACTTCAAATGTGCCTTCAGGATGTTAAAACCTGGATGACCTGTAATTTTCTCATGTTAAACTCAGATAAAACTGAAGTTATTGCTCTGAGGCCTAAGCACCTCCGTGACGCATTATCTAAAGATATAGTTTCCCTGGATGGCATCGCCTTGGCCTCCAGCACCACTGTGAGGAATCTTGGAGTTATCTTTGATCAGGACATGTCGTTTAAGTCTCACATTAAGCAAATTTCAAGGACCGCCTTTTTTCACCTACGTAATATTGCGAAAATCAGGAACATCCTGTCTAAAAATGATGCAGAAAAACTAGTCCATGCATTTGTTACTTCTAGGATTACTGCAATTCCTTATTATTAGGCTGCTCAAAAAAGTCCATTAAGACTCTTCAGCTGATCCAGAATGCTGCAGCACGTGTTCTGACAGGAACCAGGAAAAGAGATCACATTTCTCCTGTTTTAGCTTCTCTGCATTGGCTTCCAGTAAAATCCAGAATAGAATTTAAAATCCTTCTTCTTACCTACAAAGCTCTTAATGGTCAGGCACCATCTTATCTTAAAGAGCTCATAGTACCTTACTATACTACCAGAGCACTGCGCTCCCAGAATGCAGGGTTACTTGTGGTTCCTAGAATCTCCAAAAGTATAATGGGAGCCAGAGCATTCAGCTATCAAGCTCCTCTCCTGTGGAACCAGGTTCCAGTTTGGGTTCAGGAGGCAGACACCATCTCCACATTTAAGACTAGGCTTAAGACTTTCCTCTTTGATAAAGCTTATAGTTAGGGCTGGCTCAGGTGAGTCCTGAACCATCCCTTAGTTATGCTGCTATAGGCCTAGACTGCCGGGGGACTTCCCATGATGCACTGAGCTCCTCTCTCCTCTACTTTCTCTCCCTCTGTATGCAACCTCATCCCATTATTGCATGTTACTAACACAACTTCTCCCCTTTCCGGTAGTCTTGTGCTTTCTCGTCCTTCTCCTCTCTCCTCCTATCACTTCCTGCAGGTGTTTCTGGCTCTGGAGCTGTGGACTCTGGATCTGTGGTTGCGAGTCACCTGCTGCCCCCGTGGTCCTGCTCGACACCATCCGCTACAATTATTACTAGTCCTATTGTTATTATAATCATTAACATTACGATTATTATCATAAACATTACTGTATACACTCACCTAAAGGATTATTAGGAACAACTGTTCAATTTCTCATTTATGCAATTATCTAATCAACCAATCACATGGCAGTTGCTTCAATGCATTTAGGGGGGTGGTCCTGGTCAAGACAATCTCCTGAACTCCAAACTGAATGCCAGAATGGGAAAGAAAGGTGATTTAAGCAATTTTGAGTGTGGCATGGTTGTTGGTGCCAGACGGGCCGGTCTGAGTATTTCACAATCTGCTCAGTTACTGGGATTTTCATGCACAACCATTTCTAGGGTTTACAAAGAATGGTGTGAAAAGGGAAAAACATCCAGTATGCGGCAGTCCTGTGGGCGAAAATGCCTTGTTGATGCTAGAGGTCAGAGGAGAATGGGCCGACTGATTCAAGCTGATAGAAGAGCAACTTTGACTGAAATAACCACTCGTTACAACCGAGGTATGCAGCAAAGCATTTGTGAAGCCACAACACGCACAACCTTGAGGCAGATGGGCTACAACAGCAGAAGACCCCACCGGGTACCACTCATCTCCACTACAAATAGGAAAAAGAGGCTACAATTTGCAAGAGCTCACCAAAATTGGACAGTTGAAGACTGGAAAAATGTTGCCTGGTCTGATGAGTCTCGATTTCTGTTGAGACATTCAGATGGCAGAGTCAGAATTTGACGTAAACAGAATGAGAACATGGATCCATCATGCCTTGTTACCACTGTGCAGGCTGGTGGTGGTGGTGTAATGGTGTGGGGGATGTTTTCTTGGCACACTTTAGGCCCCTTAGTGCCAATTGGGCATCGTTTAAATGCCACGGCCTACCTGAGCATTGTTTCTGACCATGTCCATCCCTTTATGGCCACCATGTACCCATCCTCTGATGGCTACTTCCAGCAGGATAATGCACCATGTCACAAAGCTCGAATCATTTCAAATTGGTTTCTTGAACATGAAAATGAGTTCACTGTACTAAAATGGCCCCCACAGTCACCAGATCTCAACCCAATAGAGCATCTTTGGGATGTGGTGGAACGGGAGCTTCGTGCCCTGGATGTGCATCCCACAAATCTCCATCAACTGCAAGATGCTATCCTATCAATATGGGCCAACATTTCTAAAGAATGCTTTCAGCACCTTGTTGAATCAATGCCACGTAGAATTAAGGCAGTTCTGAAGGCGAAAGGGGGTCAAACACAGTATTAGTATGTGTTTAGTGTTCCTAATAATCCTTTAGGTGAGTGTATATCTGTACCATTTTTCAT